CCGGGGCTTCGCAGCCGCGCGGGGGGCGCCGGCAGCGCTGGGGGCCGAGAGGCGGCGGGAGGAACCCGCGGGGCCTCGGCCGGGGCTCTGCCCGCCGGGCCGGCGCGGTCCCCACCTCCCTGTCCCGGGTGTCGTTCGGGAGGGGAAGTCAGAGCCGCCCGCCTGAGCCGCCCCGTTCCTCCGCAGGCCGCCGGGACGATGACTTTCCAATGGACGGCCGTGGCTGGCTTCCTGTACGGCGAAATCGCAGTAATTCTCGTGCTCTGCCTGCCGTTCATTTCTCCGCTGAGGTAGGAGAACTTACGTGTGATGAGCAACGCAGCTCGCTCTTCTCACCAGTTTGGGTTTGTTTTACGCTTCTGTTTTCATAAACACGGAGCTTTGCTGCATCCTAAACTAGTTGTGAACAAAGCCGAAGGAATGCTGATCAAGAGCTGCAAGAATCGCAAGCCTCTTTAAGGAGCTTTATGTTTTCTAGGCAATGCTGATTCATCCGAGAGCAGCGGTCGGGGTGTCCAGAGGAGCCCCCTGCTTTGCTTCAGCAGGTGGGGAGGCTTCTCCCAGAGTTGTGGAGTAGGCAGCATAGAGGAAGGCATCTGGCTGTAATAAATGAGAGTAGAATGCGGTTTTTTCAGCATTTGTTTGCCATATTTGTGAGGTGCAACTTTATGTTTTGGTGTACACTAGGCATTGTGGGTGCAGAACAGATAAGACGTCAGATATTCAAAGCAAGCAGCAAACTGTGTAAGGGCTGCAATAAATTTGTGATCACTTGTTTAAAAAAACTGGACTTGAGTTTGAAACAGAAGGTTCAGGACTACTGGAATAAAGGTCTCTGTAAAACTCCATAAAAACTCATATATAGATTAAGAAAATAGTACTACTTCTGGAGCACAACACAACAATTAAGAAAATAATAGATTCTTGTAAAATAAACGCACAAAGGGAAAGAAACAAAATAAATTTATTACCCTTACTGAGGCCTGACTTAGAGCATTTTCTTCTTTTCTGTAAGTAGCTCTTCAAATTTGGTAATATTATTTCCCTACAGGTAATAAAGCTAGATTCTCTGCAGGAGGCAAGAAAAGCAGATTTACGATTTCTTTTTAGAGTATCAGGAAGTCTCAAAAGAAGAACACACAAAAACCTCACAACCCCCCAAAACAACAAGCAGAATGAAAATTTAGAGCTGTTGTTTTGGGTTTTTTTAAATGTCTCTGTCTCAGCAATGCTCCATAAAAACTTGTGTGTTTGTTTCCTGCATCTTTAGATATATTTAGAGTGATATAGCTTTTACTACAGCTTTTACTGTCCTCTTAAGGAACAAGAGTTGTTATGGAAAGTCTCGATTTTACTACTTAAGCCTGGGGAGGAGTCTTGAAAATGACTGTCTCCTCCACAACTGGTACCAATGATTAGGCATGTTTCCTCAGCTTAAGAAATTGAAACTGTTCTAAAATCTAATTCAACTGTTTTTTTTACAAGTTGGTTTATGAGGAGTTCAGCATTTCGACATAGACTATTGAGTTGTTGTATTTCTTACTGCTCTCTAAGCAAAAGTGCAACTATGTAAGAGGAGAGGAGTATTATGGGATCCATAATCATCAGATTATTAATGGCTTATGTGAGGAAACTAGTTGCAAGAATTTCTGCAGGCTGATGTCACAAGCATAATACTTTGGGAGTATTGAAATATATTTCACTTATGATTCGAACAGAGTCCAGTGTTTGTGGCTGAAAAGCAAATTTATAATGTGCAGCTTTACCAAAATTCATTCAAATTTTAAGCATAATGCTTTTAATTATATGGAAAGGATAGATTTGTATCCTTTGTTTGGTGCATTCAGCTATTCCTCTGAACAGTGGTTTCCACACAAGTGAAATAACTTTATCCCTTATGTGATATATACAATTGCCTTCTTAACAAAACTAGCAGGAATTTTGTGGGGTTAAAAATCAGATTTAGCTGCTATGTCAGTACCAGAGAGCAGCAGCTCTGCCTGATGCATCTTGGTGGCCTGGGAGCTGGTTCTGTCAGCAGTAAGGCATGCATGGTTACTGACAGGTGGGAAACTGCTGTTCTTGGAAGTTTCAGTTTACTAAGTTGTCAGTCTTCAAATAGATTCGTTGTCTCTCTTGTGTGTGCACATTTTTTTTAATATTTTTTTTTCAAATTTGCTAACAAGTTTTCAAGTTCCTGGGGAACAAGTAAATTGACAGTATAAAAATGCAAATACACCAAGAGAACTGTTCTACTAGGTGAAGTACATTTAAAATTGTGGCTAGTATTGTAGTTTGGAAGTTTTATATTTAGATGACTTTTGTCACCAAAAGGAAGTGAAGTTTTAGTAAATGTGAATGTCAATACTTGCTGAGGAAAAATAAATGTGAAAATAAAACACAGGAAGATTTTCCTGTAAAGAGATATTTTTAACCTGATTATAACTTGGCAGTGTAGTTTATCTGAGGTCATACCTCAAAGAATCACTTCTTAAGCGGAGGTCACTATGGAGCTTGAAAATTGTGTGTTTAAAGAGTTGGTGAATTGGCTTTGTGTGAGTTGTAGCTTGAAGTAAGCTTTTTGTTTGATACAGACTGTGGCTGTCTTGCTGTAAAGAATTCAGATTATACTAGAAGACTTAAATGAGATTTTTGCATGCACAATGCTAAAACATTTTAATTATTTCTGGTAGAGAACTGGAAAACCTATAGGAGATGATGCTATGGTCTCATTTAAATTGAATTCATAATTGTTTGGAAACTGCTGTAACAGAGAATATTTTAACAATCTCTGGGAAGCATAAATAGTCTTAATAAAAGTAGGAAATTTTAGCTCATATAATCAGATGGTGAGTTGTATGTCTGTGTTACAACCCTGTGGCATGATTAGGTATTATTTCATTTGTGCAGTAGCACTGATTCTAATCTTCAGCAAAGCCCTGGTTCTAACCTGCAGTAGATGCTCTGTAATCACTTGTTTCAATTCATTTGAGCACACTGGATGTTCTTTGTCCAGCAAGTGTGACTTTTGCCACAGCCCTTCATGCAGCAACATCAATTAGACAACCAACTGTTAAGAAAAAATAATTTTAAAAAATTGTATACACCACCATTGGTCTCACCAGAAGGTGAGGAAGAATTTTCTGTAGCCAAAAACTGTATGCTTGGGAAAGAGGTTTCAACCCTTAACAAAATACGAACACAAGAATTGTCCTTTTTGTTGTCATCACAAGGTAGAATGTAATAACAATCCTTATTCTTCAGAGTTATGCAGACTCATCTTTGTAGAAAATAAGCCTTCTGAAGGAGGATGGTAGAGAATTTCTGGACATTTTTAATTTTATTGGCTACAAGAGGTATTAGTGGATAAAAATAAAAATAATGGAATTGATTTTACAGTCTTTACCCTATCCCTTGTTATAGTCAGGACTGAATATAACATAGTGCTAGCCAAAGTATAAGCTAAAATAAAACATGTCTGCAGAGTACCTGCTATTGTGCAAAAAAATTTGCAAGTTAAAGAACTTGCAACAACAACTGTTTCCCCTGTATTAACAAAAAGAAAAAAAAAAAAAAGAAGTTAGATTACTGGAAAAGTTAATGTATACCTAAATTGTATTGTGATTAAAGGAGCTGTTGAGAGACATTATACAAGTCTCTTATCAATAACAGAGCTCTCTTCTGTGGGGTTGTAATGCTCTTCTGTTAGTGCTTAATTATTTTTGAATAACACAACTCTATTTTACAGATGGCAGAAGATTTTTATGTTTCCTCTATGGAGCAAAATGGCAGTATTTTGGAACAAGATGTTCCTTACAATAATAGTTCTGTTGATTGTCTTGTTTCTTGGTAAGTGTTAATTTCTTAACAAATGGGTAAAAGAAACATGGTACATTTAGTTTATATCAGTAAACTAATGGAAGGGATTCAAGCCTGGTGTAAGTCAGCTAATTTATTGAAAAGTTACATAGTGGAATGGAAGAGGAGAGGGCTACTGCATCCACACTGGGAATCCAAATGCAATTGTAATATACTGAGTGAGTGAGAAGGAAAAATGGAGCTTAATCTAGGCTGCTGCTTGGTTTTCCTTTCTCAGACAGGTAAATGAATCTGACACCACAGTTTGGCTGAGCTGCACCTCATGCAGCAGATGGCACTCTTTCTTTTGGTTGCTGTTGAAATGGGAGACCACAATGTATCAAAGCACTGGGCTGTTTGAATACTTTTGCTCAGCACAGATACAAAACAGCTGCTGGCTACATCTGTAGATCCTAAGGTCTATGAAGTAAGAGTAAAGCTTTAATGGTTACTGTATGCCTGACTGATTTAATTTAATGTCTGTCCTGACTGCTGTGTACTAAGCATCTCCTACATTTCAGTGATGAAAGTAGTTCTCCTGTGTTTTGGGGATATTAATTAAGTACTTCTCCATGGATAAGTGTTTCCAGTGCTTTAGAATACACATGCTACTTAATTCCAGGCTACTTGAAATGGAAAGACAAAATGCATGTTTTTTCTGCTGAGGGAAACATACAGATGCATGTACATATATAACAATGTCAGACTAGGCAACAGTACTATATTCTTAATATTTAAAGTACCAGAAATGCAAATAGACTGTTCTGTTATTTTTTTAAGATTATGTTTATTATTATTCTTAAAATTAGGCCTTCAGTAAATGGCTTAAGACTGATAACTAATGTATTTAACTTACTCTGTTGAAATCTGTTGAAAACTTTGGTCAAAGTTTGCTTTTGAGTTGGTGCTGGTCATTAAGTTTGTGGAAAGATAGAATAGGGCTAAAGGAAAACAGTGATGAGATACCTGCCCCATAGCATGAAGTGATAGGTTACTGCAGGCCTAGACTCTTCCTATAGCACAGGGATATGCATTGTTTAAAGCTTCACTTCAAGGTTTTTTTACCACCTAAATAACTTAGACATATGAGAGAGTCACAAGTGATGATATTCACACGTGCTTTTGTTTGCAGTTGATTTTGCCTGCTTAGACAAATGTAGCAGCAATTTAATAACATCTAGCCAAAATATTCTGCAAGAACTCCAGAATACAGAATAGAGAAATACAGAATATACACAGAATACATATAGAATACAGAAAACTACAAGAAATATGTATTTTGTTGATGTGCAGGAGGAGATTTAAGGTGCTGTATTGGTTTTAAGAATGTTTGATGATCTTACATTGAAAGATTGTAATATGAACTCTTAACTGGGTTAGGTTTAGGTGGATGTAAGTCCTAATTAATTATTTTGCCCTTTGGAAGGACAAAAGAATTAATTTATTTTTAAATTAATTAAAATTATTAATTTTAATTAATAATTAAAATTAAATTTTAAGTGTTTAAAATAATTAAACACTTTGGAAGGTGTTTGCAGTGCACTGGCCCTTTTGCAGGACTATCAGGAGTATGTGATGGATGGAAGGAAGCTGAAAGGTGTATGAAAGGCAGATGAAAGAAAGCGGAGTTGTAGCTTTTTTCCTCCATTCTTTTTATGCTCTTGTTGCAGTTAGTAATCACTACTGATGTTACTACTGCTGCATTGCCACAATCTTCCTATGTTGATGGATGTTAAATAAACAATTTTCTCCCTCTATGATTGAAGCATAAAATAGACCTTTCTGTCATTACTAAAACACGTGTGTATCTTAAGAAAACTCTGTGTGAAGCAAATACTCAAGCACATACTACTTCTTTTTGCTGCTTTTTCTCTTTTCTCACTGTTTGTCCACTGGGGAATTTTAGCTCAGTTGTCAGCAGTGACATTTTGACACCATAGGGTCTTTGGTAGCATCCGTAGAGCAAGTTGCTTTGGTCTGATCCCTGGTGGCTAAGTACAACTGTTTGAAATACCTGTTCAAGTATATTTTGAGCAATGGTTTGTCAATATTTCTGGAAATGTGCTAGAGCACTTCAAGATTTATCAAGACCGATCTTTAAAATGCATGGATAACATAAGTAATGTCACTATTTGTCCTATTACTGTTTGCTGAGCAGAAAATCGAAGTACATATTTCTGATACTAAGGTGTGGTTTAGCATACATGTACACCCACAGATGTGAATAAGAACAGACTGTTTTTGTTTGCAGATGCTATTAGAGAAGTCAGGAAATACTCATCTGTTCATGTGAATGAAAAGGCTGCAAATGTCAACAGCAGTGCCTTTGATCATATTCAGATGAAACTCTTTCGGTCGCAAAGAAACCTGTATCTCTCAGGTTTTTCCTTATTTCTTTGGCTGTAAGTATAACACTTTTCTAATGTTTACATAGTATGCTTATTACAAGAACTACTGCACAAAGTAATTGTAAAGATCAGAATGACAATTTCAGGAGGTTAAAGAATTAATTGTGACCAGGTTGGCAACAAGGCAAGTAAGAACAGGGAAAATAATGCCTTACAACTGTTTGAAGATGGGAAGGCTTTGTGAGCAACACATGGAAAGAAACATTTTGAATGCTCTAGAAAGCATGTATTTTGCAGAAGTTTCTTTGGGGAATACTCACTCATTTCCTTCCTTAAACTTACGCTCTTTGTTTTGCACATGGAAAACTGGAATAAAAAAACCCTCAAAAGCTAAAGTGACTCCTAAATAATATTATTATCTGGCAAGCTGGTGTCATTGCACCCTGCTGTGCTGAGAAGCAAAGCTTGAGTCTGACCTGAGCCACTTCAAGCCCAAGCTTGAAGTAAAGAGCTGTAGGATAATATTCCAGCTTTCAAGGAAAGTTTCAGTTGTATTTCAGATCAAGCACTTTGTGTCAACTTACCTGCTATGATACTATGATCTTAAGTTTTGTATGTTTTTCAGGATGTTTAAGTACAGCTACTAAAACAGGGTAAAGTTCTCTACTGCCTGCCTGTAGCAACCAAGACTACCTGTGAATCAGTAGCCACAACAACCTGCAGATATTATCAGTTGAGCCAGGAGCACATGAAGTCACTGGACATGGATGATGTGAACAAACAGAAACAGACACGTTGGTCTGATGATTTCCTATTTGTACATTTTTATGATGGCTGGACTAAGAGTGTTGGTCCTCTTAGGAGTTCCTTCAGTGACATTGCCTCAATACTCAGGAGGAACACAGAACAAGAAAATCAGACTTATGACAAACTTCTCCCCCTTAGAGTGATGTGTGGCCCACACATTAGCAGACGATTGACCACAAAGAAGTGCCAAGGAAAAATGAATACAAAGCCTGAGCAGAAAAGCTTTGGAAAAAATAATATGGTTGTAGCCTTGCTCATTTGTGATAGGATTGCATCAAGTTCTTTGTCTTCCTACAGAAAGGTTAAGTAAATATGCGCAAACATGTTTTCAATCTCTGCTCCAAGAGGAATAGCTGGATTGTTTCTTACACAAGAACTAGAAGCTGGTCTCTCAGGACCCTACTTACATTCAGCTTCCAAGGAAGAAAACTTGTCAAATGACCCCAGTAGATTATTTTGTATAAAAGCTCTGCTCTTGAAGAGGTTTTCTTGAGGATTTTTTGAGCTGCTGGCCCTTCACCAAGATTTAGGAGAAATAAGCACTTCTCCAGTAGTCACTAGATCAAAGGACTTTTCTTAGTAGAGCTATTTTGCTTATCCATGAAACAGACATAATGTCTCTTAGAGAACTGAGGGGAAAGTGTTCCTTGGGTTGTGTTATCCTGTACTGCTATACCATCACCCAACCAGTGTGAGAACCCATTTAGTGTGAGTGGGTAATTGGATGCCTAGTTCATCCTTTATATCAGTTTTGGTTCATTTTAGCACATCAACCAATAGAAGGATTCCACAAAAATGGTATATGGAGATTCATAAAGTGGAGGAGGCTTGGAGCTTGTCACTTCTGGCAAGACAGAAGCAGTTGTGGGGTTCAGTGATTGCAGAGCATTGGGTACAGGTGAGGAAAATTACCTGTCAGAGGGGGTATTTGGGCCAGTTGAGCCCTTCATCTGAAAACTGTGCAGAAAAGAGGAGGGTCATAGACCCTGGAGACTGTCCCCTGGGTAGGACAAAGACACCCACCCATCTGCTAAGCTGACCTGGTCCTCTTTTAGCCCATGCTGAATGAGAGAGGGATAAGAAGGGCTGAAAACTAAAGAAAATCTCAAGAAAACATGAGTCCACTGCTCACTGGTACTTCTAGGAGAGTCATCAGGGTATGTACCATCACCCCCAGTAGTGGAAGATGCAGCTAAGGAGTACATAGGCCAGTTGTGCATATAAAATTCTGTGGCATCCTAGGATGGCAGAGAGAGTTGGCCAATGCCATTCCAAGGCTTAGTTTGAAAGATGATTCTGGGGAGAATCCTGGTGACCACAAAAAGGCAAACATTGCACCAGTCTTCAAGAAGGACAAAAAACAGGATATAAGAAACTAGAGACTGGTCTCCCTGGAAAGGTTATTAAGCAAATCTTACTCAAAGACATCTTCAGGGACATGAAGGATGTGATGACTTGGAGCAGTCATCACAGATTTACTTAGGGAAGATGATGCCTGAACATCCTTGTTGCCTTCTGCAGTGACATGAATGGCTGTGTGGATAAAGAGCAGAATATCTCTTTTGCAAGGCCTTTGATGTAGTGTCTTTTAGTAATCTGATAGCCTGACTGTGGAGGGACATAGGCTCGAGAAATTGATTAAAAAGCAGGTGGGAAGTTCCCTGGACCTTCGGGCTCAAAGGATAATAACATTGTGAATTTCAGCTGGTGCTCCTCAGGAATCTGTACTGGGCTCAATATTGTTTAATGTCTTTATTAACATCATGGATGATAGGATTGACTGTGCTCTCAGGAAGCTGCTCAAGGTACCAAATCAGAGTGGTTGACATCTTGGAGATGTCTTGGAAATGTGCTGACATAAATCTCATGAAGCTCAACAAAGACAAATGCAAAGTCTCACATTTTATTGGATAATCATATACAGCATCCAGGCTGGAGACTGGCTGTGTGGGTGGGTAGGAAGCAGTTTTGCAGGAAAAAAACTGGGGATCCTGATAGAGAGCCAGTTGTGTATTGAGCTGTGATAGCAAGGATGTAGTTAGCAGGTCAAGGAAAGTAGTTATTTCTCTCTGTCTGACATGTGTGGTGCTGTAGCTGCAGGACTTAAGTCAAGTTTTAATCCCCAAAATACTGGAGTACTGCAGTGGGGTACAGAGAAAGTTGGAGGCTGAAATGTGTGACCTATGAGGAGATGATGCAGGAACTTTGCTTTCTGCCAGAAGGGATTTTGAAGGGAAAATCCTATTGGTTTCTATGTCTGTCTAGTAGTAAAAAGGATGGATCCAGTTCATCTCAGTGGATGCAAAAAGGAATGACAAGAGGTAAAAGGAACCTGAGATGTTCTGACTTGGTAGAAAAGTACTGCTGCTGTCAAGAGCAGTTAAACACTGGAACAAGCACCCTGAAGAATGGTGTAATCTCCCATCACTGAAGATGGTAGAAGCTCAACTGGACAAGCCTCTAAGGAATCTGCTCAACCTATCCTGCTTTTCATGAGATAGAAGCCTCTTTGAACCTATGTCATTCTGTGATTCTCTTTTTAGTTATGATGTTTTAATGAGTCCTGCATATGTAAGTTGATAAGCATTAGTAAATTTGCTAACCTATGGAAAAGCAGTGACATGGGGACTTTTATGCAAAAGCGAATTACTTGGATTTTTACATTTCTTTGAAGACCAGCTGCATAGTTACATTACAGGCATTAATTTAGTTCAGTGTTGTGTTGCCTCAATTCAGCAACATTTGAAAGATTTCAGGATGAGTAATGAAAATAGTGATGTAAATAATCAAAGGAGATATTTGCAAAGCTCAGAATTGAGGTGCCATATCAGTGTTGACATCCATATGTGTTCAGATTTAGCTGTATTTTAGTATTTTAAAGATTATTATGCTCACACTGCTAATTCTGTTCTTGCAAGGCTGTTTATAAAGCTGTGTGAGTTTGTTGGTTTTTTTTCACTCATTACCAAAACTTCTTGTTTAGTTCTTGTGTTTGTAGATCAATCCTGTTAAAAATACTGGGTCGTGTAACAGTATTTAAACAGCCTTTAAAGAAACCCTGGCTGGTCAGAGACCTGATTAATGGCTGTGGGTATTTAGGAGGAGGGAGGTTCCATATTAAGTAAAAATCAGAATGTCAATGGATGAAAATATTTGCAGTCTCTTGTTACTATTACTTGTCATCGATGAGCCTGAATGTTTCCCTTAAGGTGCTTAAACAGCCCTCTTCTGGTTTTATTTTTCCATCTACTGCTGAGAGAAAAGGACTTGCTTTGGTTTGTGGGATTTTTCTGTTTGGTTTGATTTTTGTTGTTTTGGTTTTTGCTTGCGGCTTGTGTTTTTGTATTATTTGTGCTGTAAGTTACAGTTCTGTTCACTGTTTTTCTTCACCAGCGTATTGAGACGTACTGTTACCCTTCTTACTCAGTTGGCAAAAGAGATGGCATCTCATGCAGCTCTGGAAACACAAGTAAATGATGCTACTGAAGCAGCCAAAAAATACATGGCCGAGAACGAAAGGCTGCAAGAGGTATCTTTGAGCTTCTTCAAACTTTCTTATACAGCAAGTAGTTAGTGCAACCTGCTCTGAGGATGGTTTGCAACAGAATGCTTATTCATTTTATTCCTTCTGGTTGAAAAAGGAAGAAAAATACTTGTACAGTATGTAATTAAGAATACTGAAAACAAATTATAGTAGCATCTTAATAACAAAGGAAATTGTAGTAAACCAAATAAATGAAGTTCTGTCTTTCCAGTACAAATTTCATCAAAGTAGTAATAGATTCTTAATACATCTCTCTGAATTTAGTCATAACAAAGTAGAGGAAGACACTAATTTTATTCCTTTTATTGCAAACAGTTGCCTGTTTAGGTCAAGGCTGTAGCAGTCCAGGATGAAAAAGCCTACTATATAACTGTTTTCATGCTGACTTTTTCTTCTTAATAGGATTTTCTCCAGTCCTGAATGTATTTTCTAACTTGTAAAATTAATCTTTTGTATTTTATGTATTTTGTATTCTTCTATCTTTTTATGGTAGGTCGGCCAATTTCAGAATACTTCCCTTTTTTAGTGGGACACTGTTGTAGCATTAATGATAATACTACCAAAAATTTCTTAATTAAAAAAAACCCAACAGACTGAAGAGATGTTACTTTTATGCAAAGAATGATTAGGCTGTGGTTCAATACATAAGTGTTCATGAAGAAAAGGTATCAAAGATAATTAAGATAAATGTATGAAATCTTTCCTTGAAACTGTTTAGACTTCTGTTTGAAGAGACTGAACCCTGAGCTGAGTTCAGAAATCTAGACATAGGAAGGCTTTTAGAGTCCAGCACATTGTCAAAACTAAATTCCCTGTGGGTGTGTACAGGTTTCCTTCCAGTGTGTCTAAAGCAGTGTCTATGGTTACTGGCACTGTCATTTTTTTGTAATAAATCTTCGTACGAAGACTCTGGACAAAAAGTACTAGAAGGGATACAAAAAACCCAATTGTTTAAGAGGTATTGTAAAACAAGGATCACAAGTCTATGTTAAGTGTTTCCCAAGTATAAAATGATTCCAAAATTTTGGGATTTGGTATTTTGTCAAAATGATACAAACTATTCCCTCAGCCATGGAATTTGTCTCTTTACTGCCTTAGGGGTATGTTTTTATTTCTTCTCTGTCCTGTTGGGATTTTGCCAAAAGTCCTCTTTTTTGTTCTGCTTTCACATTCTCTTAGCAACACATTCTCTTAGCCGCTTGTAAATGATAGCCAGAAATTGGAAACTGTAGTCCTGTCTGGTTCTATTTGTGTGTTTGATTGCATGGTTTGCAAAAACACAGGTAGCTACAGGTACAAACAGCATGCTGTGGCTGGATCTCCATTGTGATAGACATGGGAAATGTTCAGGGTTGGAATACTTTATAGACATCCTATGGTTTAGACTTCTCTGGCTTGGCCCCTGCAGTTGTGTCTATTTACAAGTGTGCTTCATTCCACTGTTGGAGAGAAGTGAGAGCAATTGTACATAAGGCATTGACTGCAAGTTTAAATACTGTGAGTTTACTCTGGTGTGCAGGGTCTGCACTGTCACCTGTTCAGAGGTTCTGCGGAGCACAGGACTTAAGATGAAAGTGTAGAGAAATAGCTGTTTGCATACTAATAGAAAGAGGTGAGCACAAAGCAGAGAGGAGAATTGGCTATGGTTTTGTTACCAGTAGTTAAATGTCATTTCAGCTCTTTGGTTAAATAGCTTCTGGAAATCTTTTTTCAGCTCTTTTTCTTGGATTGTTTACCAGTCTTTATAAACAGTTATTTTTCTTCTTCCTAAAAAAATCTTTCCCCTTTGCTCCTACTTGTTCCTGGTAAACTGTGATACTGCTAGTTCACATAACAACTGTTTGTCTCACTTGTTTTACTTTTCTTTTTCCTGTTAAGCATTTACCACTTTTTTGCTATTACAGAGATGATGTGTGGTTAGATAGTAGAAGCTTTATGAGAAAAGGATCTTGTTACGGGATCTAATATTGCACCTTAAAAGGGTGCATAAGAATAGTAGTGCAAACATTTTTGGAGTACAGGGAATATATTGCTCTTGTGTCAAGTGTTTACACAGCCCTTTCTGGATCCTTTCCTAGTTTTTTGTCTTGAATTTCACTGGAAATTGATTCTGGATATTGGAAGTATTCTGAAGATTGAAGTAGCTGCAGTATTCTGAAGTAGCTGCAAACCTACAAGAAAAGAATTAGAACCAGTTGCATGTAAACATGGCAGTGTTCTGTCACTGACAATCCCAGTGTGTATCTTCTGGAAAATCCATTTAAAAACCTAAATGAAAGTTGTACACTTGATAGACACATACAAAGTACTCTTACACAGGAGATAACATCATTCTATTACAAATATGCCATTACCAAAAACACTGGGCTTGTTTATTTCCTTTTTTTTTTAATTTGGGGGGATTTTTTTCTACAATGACTGTCTGCCATTTGGGAAAACCTAATGCTTTGCAAGATCAGGGCTGACATTCCCTGGATATTTTTCATTAATATTAGACTAATGAAAATAAAATTAATTGTAGCAACTGTGGTTTTTAATAGGCCTTGAGTGGAAAAGGAGATGGTAAAAAGAAAGAGTCAACAGATGCAACTGAGGAAAAGTTGAAGGAGGAAGTTGAACATTTGAAAGCAGAGCTACAGAAGACATCAAGTGGTGAGTATTAGATAGGATTTCTTTGCAATAAGAAAAAGATTATTTCAACTCTGAATGTCAAAGAAGTATTCTAGGTATAGCATGAACTAACTTCATCTGTTTCCAGAACACTTGGCATGGGTTTTCTTTGTCTTTGACTAGGAACTGACAAAACATGCCATTGCCATCCCAATATTTTAGTAAATGTGTCCATTATGAAAATATATAAGGTGTAATTGGAGCACCTTAGTTCAACAAGTTGGACTGATATATTTAAGTGGTGTTGACTTGTCTTCATCAACGACATGACCAGGATCATTTGCAGGTTACTTAAAGGCATCAGTTTGATCTTCCATGTCATACATAACAGCCACTCTCCCTGTATAAAATGGGGAAATATTGTGGTTGAGGTTTTTTACTACAATAGAGTTTCTGTCAGACAGCAGAAAAGTCCTTGATTAGTGTTCTGAATTTATATATGTTCTGCAGCTAAGGTGTTAAGATGTTAGCTTTTTTAATTTTTTTTTTGTTTACAGGGAAACATACCTTCCAATTTGTAACATAATACATTTGTTAGCAGCTTCCGTGTTTAAGGTTTAGGTTGTCAAAACTGCTTTACAGGCAGCCCAAATTGAGATAGAAGCAGATTTTACCTGTTTGGTTCTGTCTCACTCGAATCTCAAGGTGTGTGATGCCTGTGAATACCTGCTCATCTGAAATCAGTGTTTTCAAGATAACACTGCCTGTGATTTTGTAAACATTAATCAGATGTTCAGACTTTAACAAAAATACAAATTTTCTTAGTACGAGATAGCATATTATCATCAAAACATAGCCTTATTTACATATTACCTGGCATTGCTACAATGCTGTAAGAATAATTTTTTCAGAAATATTTCACAAATCCTTTTCACTGTCCACTGGCAATTCAAATAAAAAATGTTAAACCAGCTGTTTTCAGCTGGGCTTGAAGCAACAAGAGTCTTTAAATAGAGAGTCTTGTTAGTTCATATACTCAGGCATGTTTGATGATGGGTTTTCCCTCTCCTGCTGTTTTCTTGAAGAAATGGGGGAAAAGTGCCTTTGAAGTGACAGGATCAATGAAAAATTTAAATGCTTATGTTTTATTTAAACTAACTGGTGGTATGTAACACTAATATAATGTAAGCTTTTCAGCCAGGAATGCTAGAGAAAGCTAAGGAATAAATACATTTACCTCATGCTGCTTCAGCTTCATTCTCCCTATGGGATGTTGTCCATCCAAGAGATGTATAAATTAAGGCATGCTTGAATCTTTTGTTAGGGCAAAAGTGGGAGAGAGGGGCTTTCTAAGGAGTGAATTGGAAAATATTTACAGCCCTTCTCCTGATGCCACCCCCCTCATTGCCAAAAACCCCATGAGTGGTATGGGAATTACCATGGGCAGCTAGCTGGTGTTGAGATATGTCCGTCTTACCTTTTTGTAAGTTTTCTTATATGTTATTTTGAGCAAATTGATAGCCAGAAAGCTTTTAAGTACTTGATAAGAGCAACCACATCTGTAGACCCAGCTTTCTATAGAGTGTTAGAGAACATGAATGAAATTTACTGTTTTCTTTTGAAATTCCTGCAAGCTGGGTAGGTGAATGTTGACTGTCACGTTCACTAAGTGTGAGCAATGCATTACACAAAATGAAAGCTGAGATTGGAAAGTTTGTTTTGCTACTGAGCTCACATGACTAAAGTATTTTTTAATTTGTGCCCTTAAAGTCCAGTCCATGAAATTGCAGGGGGAGAGGTGAAGAGTGTCACCTAATGAAACAATACAAAACTAGTATAAAAATAAAAACTTTACTGGATTTGATTTTTGAGGTTTTCTTATTGTTCGTTTTTCAGCTATAGTATTAGTAAGAATTATAAATTTGGATTTTGTTCTTGGTTGGTTGGGGGTTTGTGTTTAGGTGGGTTTTTGTTGCTTGAAAGGAAACTTTTTTCTGTTTTCAAAAGCAGTTTCAAATATCCATTGCTTTGGTCTGGGGCACTTACTAAGCTGCTGATGCATGGTAATGTATTATTTTAGAGTCGGCCATGAGTTGAAAGGTGGGTTAAGTCAGTATAGTGACAGCCAGGAGGAGTCCTAAGTGTACACCTGCATCACATTTAAGAAAATAGCTCAGTATCAGATTAGTGCTGTAACTTCAAAGGCCATGCAAATTTCCTGTAAAGTTTTGAATCAGTATTTACAACTGGCAGAGGAAATACTGTATGTCTTCTCTTTCTGAAATTCTGACTAAAATTATAGTGTAGACAGATTATTGCACACTTTCAGGAGACTCATCTATTTTTTACAGAAAACATACACTACTTTTTCTCACTTAACAGTGAAATCCTAAGTTAAGAAGACTTTTTCCCATGCTTTGAACAGGTGGGGTGGAAGAATGAAAATACAAGACAGAGTAGTGAAATTAGTAAAATCTGAGGAAAGGTTGAAAATAAATTTTAAGGTTTTTGAACAAATTCGCTTTCTTTTCAGGCTTTTCTTCTACACTTTCTAATAAACTTGATTTATTTTGGAAATGAAGCAAAGAAGGTTAGTTCCTTACTACTTTATTGCAGACCCAGATATTGTTGTCAGGGCTTTATAGGCACCCAGCAGTGGGGCAAACACTTTGAGAGCCTAAATCCATTTTTAGCATACTCAGACATGTAATAACATGACTGGTTAGAAACCTTCTGAGATGGTATTTTATTGATAAACTTTTATATTATGAAAATGTCTCCTTGATATCTAGAAATAAATGTACATACTTGTAGCAGTACCCAGTACAGATGTGAGAATGTTTCTCCTGCTACATATTAGACATACTTCTAACAAAATATTGATTCAGATAATTAAAGGTTCTCAATATGGCTACTGGCCTAGGACCAATATGAATTTTCTGGGGATAGAAGACATGCCATGATACTGTTTCATTTTGATGGCTTGGAAAACTATTCAAAAAACCACAGCAAAACAAATGCAACTGGGCATGAGGTTAGACCTGAGAGAAAGGTTTCATAAAGCCTTTTGTCCTTACCCTTATAGTGGTCCTTGTGCTGGGGTGGGAACAGAGCTTCATGAAATATGTACTGGCTCATCAAAGTCATTTAGGTGCTCTTGAACTTCAGTTCAACTTTTTCTGAAAATACCTTGCCTATATATTGTTGTTATAGGCATATGGTAGGGCAGGAGGAAATTCTAATGGAACATCCATGCATCCTTTAAAGAGGTTTGTTTTGTGCAAGTGTTCTTTGTTTCATGGTTGCATAGTGTTGTAGGAGACAGGAAGAGAGCAACAATTCATGTGGAGGGCTGGTTTTGAAATAACTTCTTAACTGTTGGCTATTGTAGAAGGTATGCACGTACAGCTGTACAGCTCTCACTTAATTGTGAAGATTACTACATGTTTGAAATGTGCTAAAAAATACAGACATTGGGAATGCATTTCATAAAACTGATGCAAGGGGAAGTTCAGTTTGGCCTTGGTGTTGCTGGGTAGGCTAGTGCCAGATAAACTACACTGAGCTTAGCTGATGCACTCCAGTTTTTAAAAACAAACAAGTTTAAAGAACTGGCCACAGTCTTTAGCGACTTAGACAAAGGCAGAGGGAAGTTGAGAAACAAGGTCTGTCTTATTTAACTGTACTTTGTACAAAACTGTGAGATGATAACCAAGGGTGGGAGCCATTGCAGTGTCACGTGCAGCAAGAGTTGATACTCACATTTGTTGATTGGAAGAGATGGCTGCATACAGCAATCATGGGTTTATTACACAAGGTTGTTTATGCCATCCCATGATGCTGTAACATCCCTTTTGTAACAAAATTTCATTTGAGGTTGCTAAAGGTACTTGAAGCAAATCTGTAAATTTTTTGTCCCTGCCTTCTCATTTTAAATTCTGACCATTATATCTTGAGAAGAGAATTCAGGATTAGTATGGAGTTACTTGACTGGAGTTGTGTTCCCAGCCTTACAGCGTATTTGTTGGCAAATCTCTTGTGCCGTCAGTGCCTAAATTCTTAAATGTGAATAGCTCTTTTTTAACTTGAAAACTTTTTTAAGAGAGGGCTCTTTTTTACTTGTCAACTAGTCCAAATCATTTGGGTTGTAGGCTTGTATTGTGCGCAATGCTAATGTAAGTTCCAGATCGTTTCCTTAGTAGCAAGCGCTGTAAGTCAAGTGATTTAGTCAGACCAGGACTAGTAGTTGTGCAAGGAAATGCACAAAGTATTATTAGTTGTTTCTGTTGCTGTTTGGTTTTTGTTTTAGTGTTAGGTTCTCCATCGTTGTTGAAATGAGAAGATCATAGAAATGCTACAACTGCTGTGGTAATGTAGCTCCTCAGAGCAGTTTATTCCTCATCCTTAGAATTCAGAGCAATCTGAAGTAAACTGTCTCTCCTGGACTAGGATTCAGAGAATGTGGTGAAAAGACACTCCTCTACTTTTCTCAGACCATACATGTTACATTAGTTTATGGACTTTCAGTCACACGTAAGTGTAAAGGGATGTAGTTTTCCACAAATGTCTTCCATTGAAACAATGGTCTAGGAATAGTTTGTTGATTGTTCTGTAAGGAGAAGAATGGAAAAGGATAGTGTACCTCTCATAGTATTGGAGAGGCTGGATTCCCTGTTTGGAATTAACTGATTATTCCCCTCAATGGGTGCATTCATGTAGAAGCAGCATCCTCACCTCCTGCCTGCTCATGCATTGACTTGGTGGGAGGTGTCAGCTCTGGGGACTTGCTTGCTGCCAGTCCAGCTGTTGTGCTTCTGTGAGGCAAAGTAACAGGCCAGATGGAAACCAGAAATAATAATTGAGTGTACTGTGCACACAAAGGATCTCCTGTTTCCTGCTGGATCCATGTTCATATGATGGGATCCATATGACAAACAGTGTACCTGATGAACGCGGCTGCACTGCGGTGCTCGTGCGGCTGCAGAGGGGCTGGGCACTGGTGTGTGGACACTCTGGTGCTTCACAAGGCATCCAGGGAAATTGATGCACTGAGGAATTCATGTTGTCAAAGATGTGATGCTCCTTTAATTTTGTGGCCCCAACAGGAATGAGTCTGGATTTGGTGGTTTGTTGATGTTTTGGGGTTTTTGTCCATAGCCAACACAGGTGGAAAGGACAATCTGTTCTTTGCTTTTTCTTCTTCTAGGGTTAGGTGAGGTATTTGTGTCATACATCTGTTTTGGTCAAAACATTAAAACAATGCAGTAGCTTGTTTGCTTGCTTGATTTGTAGATACTTTTAGATATTTTGTTCATGTTTTAAAGATAAAGTAGTTTTTAGTTGCAACTAAAATACTGTGATGCTACTTATAAATAACTAAATAGTATTATATCAATTACATGGAGTTACAACTTTTTCAGGTTACAACTTTTTCAGAAGTGAGATATTAATTTTTACAATGTACAGAAATGTTCAAACAAAAACAAGATTTATCTTTCTAATTAGAAGATTCTTGGAGAAGTGAAGTAGCACATGTTGGGGTTTTTTTGTCTACAACTTAAAATTCAGAAGCTTATCAAATTGTCACAAGTTTATTTTATTGATATCCAGATTTTACTGTTGAATATTTTAAGCAGTACCGAGATTAGAGAAAGACAAAATGCAGTGGGGTTTGACTTGTCACATGTGTGAAAATCAAAGTTATTCCAAATACCAAAACCTTCAGAAAATCTGTATTAATACTGTCAAGAATGACTTAAAGGATGAAGGAAAACTGTGTAAGAATATGGAAATGAAAGAAAGGATTTAAAGAGAAACAATGGCTTTTTAATCATGTTGGAATCAATAGACAGAAGTGTTATTGACTCTTATGAGTCAGAATTTCAGGATAGGTAAAAGTCCTGTTACAGGAAAACCACTTGCAGAGTTCTGAAATGAGAATTATTTTTCATGTATACATTCAAATTAATTATTTAAAAATAGCAGAAATTCTGGGTGAGGGAGTTCTCCTTCTTGCATGTAAGAGAGTGGTCAAATCTCATTTCCTGATGTTTCAGGAACTAGCATCCACAGAGAAATCTGGTTCATACCAGACTGTTTGTAACTCAGTGCTTAACAAAAACCACATCTAGCTCCCCATCTTTTCAGCATAGGCTTTTAGAAGTTTTTAGAAGTGCTGCAATTCTTGAGTCCAATGGAGGTCTCTGAGAAAGAAGAGTCTCAGGGAGTTCACAGTCAAAGGATAGATTCACACTTATGGAACAAGGAAATTTGCAAATGTTCTTTTTTAATTTGTATCATCAGATTTAGTTGTTTGAGTTTAAGTGGCCATGTGAGGCAGCCTCTACTAGATCATTAGCAACATTTCTTTGTTTTCACATGAATAGATAACGATTTAGACTATGTCTGTGGTGCTGCATCAGAGAAATATAACAATCCCTGAGATACCTATAGCAGAGGAATATGAAAATGTCTAAATGACCTTATGTAACAGCTTAGGACTAATGGCTTTATGGCACTTTGTGGTGTTTTATCTTGCATTGTAAAATAGCCCCTGTGGAGTCCTAGGCTGTCTGGTACTGCAGTATAGATGTGCTCTCAGTTTATTTGAGATGGAATAGAGTAATAGTTGTTTTTTCTCATGTAAAAAACCTGTTCAGAATTGTTTATCCAGACACCACCATTTCTGCCTTTTCATCCATAAACTGATGCTGCTAATCATTTAACTCGTGCATGGTAAAATTCAGAGCAGGGTGAGAAGGTGAGGTCTGTGCTCCTATAATTATGTATCATCTTCCTCTTTACCATGTTTTGTACATGGTCTCAGTTGCTGTGTGAAAATCTTGCCCAGTGTTTGAGTTCCCTCCTCTTCTAAAGATGTCTGACAGTTTTGATTTTGGGGTTGCAGAGTTTTGTTTTTCTAGAACTGTCTCCTGCAATGTGACAGAACACTGTAGTCATCACATACTAGTCTAACTCTTTCAGGAGTTTATTGGTCTCACCCCTTACCATCCTGTTTCTTGTGCTGATCTTTCTGAACATTGGCCATTCTCTTTCTGCTCTCTGTCCTAAACTTCTCTTCCTGGGTCCATATGTGATGCTGTGCTTTGAATTCTAAGCTTTTTTAGAGGAAGGACTGTCTACTGCAGTGGAGCTCTAATGCACATCTAGGGTTCTGAGAAACTGCAGGAATACATGTAATAATTAAAACACCAATTATGGTATTTTACAGCTTTCCATAAGGCAAAAACTGAAGTGGCTACAGTTAAAAAGCAGTCTGAGGGCCTTAGAAGAGAATACGATCATCTGATGAAAGAATTTGAACAGCTTCAGGTAGGTGGCTCTGGATCACCATACAAGCACTGTGTTTTGAAATTGTACCAGTAAAATTCTATTTGTTGGTATCTATTGTGCAAGGGAATTTACCAGAATCTCTTAGGGTAGCATAAAATTACAATTACCAGCATTCCTTAAACTTCTTCAAAATAGAATTTTGTTTTGCAAAGTGATGAGCATTTTCTTTTTTGAACTTTGGTTGGCAAAGCTCATGTTATCATTAGCTTCAATTTTACTGTTACTTGGAAAGTAAGATTCAGATGGTTTTGAATGTGATGATCAAACCGAAATTCTGCAAGAAAATTATAGGAGGGGTGTGTGTGTGACAAGGGTAGTATATAATACACTACTTTGTAAAAGTTATTTTATTTTATTTACTCTTAAAATATGCTTTTTCAATCCTGGATTATAAATGTTGCAATACTGTTGATATACAAGGATAAAAACCCAACAAACAGCCTAGCCTAAAAACAGGCTACTATAAAACTGAAACTGAAGTACTAAATAATTTTAAAAAACCAAAACCATATTAAGGAAAAGTTCATTTAGCTGTTTGATTGAGTTTCTTATGTGCATGGCTATAATACCTGATAGATACACAGTAAGTATTTCTGGTAGAACTGGGAGTCTGTATTTTAAGTTGTCTGACAGGTGTTCATATGCTCCATACCCAACATCTGTCTTGAGCAAAATGCAGTAAAAATTAAAATTAGCCTATTTACAAGTAGTGATCTTGGGAGAAAATAAATGATCATTAAAATTACGGTGACCTGCTTTTCATGAAGAGTTGTTCAGTCCTGTATTAATAAAGAAAAGGCAGTTTTGACCTGGTTATGTTTTTTTCCTGTACTCTGTACACTTACTCATTCCCAGCCTCACCCTGTACTTCTACAAAGATTGCTCAACTGATCTCTGTGTTCAATTCAAGACCACCATGCATGGCCTGTCTTTGTGCTTCCCTGTGTAATGAGCCATAGTAGTCCTGCTGCATTTCTAACAGACTTGTGGTGTAAAACACACATCCTTACCATCTTCTGTTTACCCCTGAGTGGAAAGAACAGAAGGTACTGAGCACACAGTAGATGCAGCTCCCAAGGATAAATGAGTTGATAGCAGAAAGTGTTTTCTGCTGAGTTTGCTGTACAGCTCAGCTGTAACACCAAAGGGAGCAGAATTAGGCTGCACAGCCTTGACTGCTGGCAGCAGCAGCTCAGGTGTTTTGTGGGGCAGTGTTGATGGGACTACAGCTTAGAAAGGTGGATGGTGAACAAATCAGGTGTGACTGCAAAAGGGCAAAATATGGTGTCTGGAGTCAGTGGTTTCTGATCTTGCCAAACTTAAATTATTTTTAATCTGTCTCTTTTCAGCAAAGTTTAAATAAAACAGAAGATAAGAAAGATCTGTAAGTGCATCTAAGATGGATGGCATCACTACAGTTGCTTGAATGAGAAAAGTCTTGTGCTGTTGATGTTCCTGATCCATACCTGAAACAAAACTTGATTTTTCTGAAAAGCACATGCATTGCAGGTCACTATTCAGATTCCTCTAATAAATCAGTTGCCAAAATGTTCTGCGTTGCAAATAAAATGCTAAGTGGCTTACCGGATTTACCATGGAGTTTGTCACTGCTCTTGTGAGGAGAAACTCAAAAATCTTTGAACTCCACCTGGAGCAACCTGTTTTCCAAGTTTTTTCTTCCCATGATGGTAGCAGATCACCATTGCTTGTTGCATTTGAGTGAGGTTCTATATCACACTAGATCATAAAAACAATTACTTAAACCTCATTTGCAGCACATGTTTGGAGTGTTAAAAGCTCAGTTCCCAGTGGGTTGAAGAAGGCTGAAAGCTTTTCATCAGTGGAAAACTGAATGACAATCAGTCTAAGGAAAATAAATGTTGCATTTCTAAATGCAGTGCAATTCTAAATGCAATCCACCTCACTAGCTTGTGATATTCACTTTAGCCGCATGGATTTGAGTGTATTTTAACAAACAATATTTTGCATGCCTCTGGTTTATTTTTCTTTAATATATTGGGATATTTCAGTTTTGGGTTGGCTGGTATTAGCAGTCTTTATTTTTACACTGTTTACATTGGTTTACTCCTTATGTACTACTTAACTTCCTTTGCCTCGCTAAGTAAAAAATCTTTTTAAATTTAGATAGTTTGGTTTGTTTTGTTTTGTTTTCATGGATACAATACCTCAAATAAATGTGCACTGTTTTGCATAAGACCTTTTTGGTATTCAGAAAGTTGTTTTGAGTTAATTTGTTAGTTGGTTCCAGTTTATATTTGAAAGTTTGATATGTTTGTTTTATTAAAAGGATTGTTTAAGTTCATGGTTTCTGGATTTATTCTTATAAATCTCTCCCAGTATACTGCTTCATCATAGTTAATAATTACATGCACTAGGAACAAAATATACTTCTAACTTAGTGATGTTTAACTCTTCTTGAAGATCCAGTCTTCATAGTGGTAGTTTTGCTTGCTCTGGAAATAGGATTTGTTTAGTTTAGAATTTAAACACAGATTATCAAATAGTATAAGGCAAAATAACATACCATATAAAATAAGAAGGCATGTGTTTTTAAAAAATACTTTATCCTTGCTGAAGTAGTACAGAATGTGTTTTCAGAGATTCTGTGACACTCAAGATTTTATTTTTTTTTCTTTAATTCCTATAAAAACTTCCAGGAAAAGTTACAGATTTTTCATTCCTGCATACACATGTTTTGAAGATGTAGTTGAATGCATCTTTTTTGGTTTTATTTTTTCCTTCCACCCCTTTCTGAAATATTCTAAATTGTTGTGTAATGTTATCGCCAGTCAAATCCAAAAGCTATGGTTGTAAGCCTTGGAGGTGTAACAACAAGTGTTGGTTTTAATAACAGAGCAAAAAACCTCATATTTCTTACTTCAAGACACCAAGCAAAAGCAAATAACTCTTGCTTATTATTTACTGTTGTCTACTCATATTTCAAACACTTCTGCTAGTATAAGTAGATAATAGAGTAGAAAATTAGAAGCTTATAATGCATGATGTTGTGCACTTTTCATCCTTATAACTTTATCTTAAAAAGTAGTGTGGAATAAAAAATGGATGGCTGTGAATGCAGTGATAGTACTGATATTTCTCCTTGAGAAGGAACTCTGAATGCTTTACACAGTTTTTTGCTGTAGAGCATGACTGAAGTGTGAAGGAGTGCAGGGTGGTATGCACTGTTTCCTTGGACCTGGAATGAGGCTGGGTATTTTCAGACATGCAACATGCATGCAACATGTGATAGATACATGCTGTAATACATTACACAGAAAATCTTGATGTTGGGCCACAGGGAAATGTTCCCTGCATTGGAGATTCCTTAAACACACAGACTTTGTATTTTGCCTCCATTCACTTCTTCTGTCATGTCTGTTACTAGGATCCTGTGTCAGGCTTCCCTGTCACAGAGTATGATAATCATCATTTTTGTACTTGTCTATTGTGGATGGTCACGCCCATTTGACTTAGTTGCATTATTACACTGCCAGCTCTTTGGAGTCCTGGACTTGTTCACAGAAAAATAATCTGTTATTCAGATTAAAATTATTTTGTAGATTCTGCTATGTAGAACTCTATTCTTGGAAAGAACACAGGTTATGTAAAATTATAAGTCTAAATAGTGTATCTGAAATTCTAGTAGATGGCAAATCCTTGTGAATACTTTGCATTTGTGTTATTGTACATTATATGCTTTCAGGGCTTGTGGGAGCCTGGGTTAATTAACTTTAACTACAGTTCTCACATTGGTAATATTTTAAGTTATGGATGATATACAGGGAAAGAATGGATCAAAATTTCATGCTTTTATCTCCTGATCTTTCAGGCTGTTGGGTCACATTTTGGTCACATGTGCCTGTGTTGTGGGAAAGAGGTTGAAAAAAGTTAAATGTCCACTAATACTGGTGGAATGAAAATAACTTTTGTACTCTGGTTGGATAGTTAATTTATTCTGAGTATGTCTCCAGAAGTAAGAATTTGGAGCCCTTTATACTCTAAATAATGTCAAAGTAATTGCCTGGTATTTCAGAGCCTTTTTTCCCTCTTTACAAATGTAGAAATGTGCATTTTCCATATTTCAGCGGGGAAGCATGGCAGAGATTTTTCTAAAAATATTTACACAGGTTTAGTTGACAGTAGCTTTCAAAAAAAGATTTGAGGAGTGTTTCCATATTTTTTTCATAAACCCTCTTTTCTGCTGAGTCAAGAAAGCAGTGAGGTCATGGTGGGTGCATGAGAGCTGACTTGAATATTAATAGACCTGGCTGCATGCTTTGGTGCTACCTTAAATGAAAGCACCTGTAGCTAGGCAGGATGTTTTTTCTCTGTTTTTATTTTTACAACAAACATGCGACAATACATCTTCCTTAATAATATAAATTGTGCACAGTCTTTTCTGAAAATGTACCCTTGCATTAAGACTCCCTGTGTGTTTGCTGCCACAGTAGTCCCTGGCTACATAGCCTCTTTGAAAAGACACTGTGCTTTCCTAGCTTCTTGTAAAGGGTGAAAGCTCAGCTTTTCTCTCAGCATTGAAATAACATTTGTTTTTCCAAATGTTAAGTTACTGTAAAAGTACTACATGACTGCCTCAATTCTCGAGTGTTCCTTGAAATTCTGAATTTACTCTTTGAGACAGAAGCCCTCATTTTGCCTTGCCTTTGGACAGTGCTTATGCCCCTGTCAGCTGTAATCTGGGTCCTGTTACAGCCTAATATGAGTAATTTTACAGATAAGTTGGAAAATCAGCTCTCAGTCATGTCATTCCTGTCCCTCAGGACTTTCTGCTGCCTATTGCTGTGTGCATTAATTGTGGAATGTCTGAAAACATAATTCTAGAACTGAGCATCCTCAGTTCAGGAATAACGTGGAATGTTTTCTATTATGAAATTTAACACTTGTGTTTTCTTTATGAGGTAATGTACAAATAGGGACAAGCATTGCAAGGTGTATTTGTGAGGAAAACAAGAGTCCCTCTAGTTTTGTGTCCACTCTGAAGTGCAGCTGTGGTCCAAAAGAAGTTTTTCTACCACCTGCAAGAGTAAGTGCCTTGAGAGGATTTTGTAGTGGGAGAGGGAAGCAGAGAGGGATGCAGACTATACAGCCTAGGACTATACATGCTAAAAGTTTCCCTGCAGGACCGTGTGAAGGTGGTCTTGGTCTGCAAGTGCACCTGGGATGGTTGGATTCTCAAGCATACTTGGGTGCATCAGGGTTGAGAGAGTGGGAACCTCCCCACTATGTTTAGTGACTAAAGTTGGATATTAGCTCTAGTGTGTCTCTTGGAAGAGAGGAGATGCCAAAAAGAAGCTACCAGGGAACATGAATATGGGAAGGATCTCTCAAACTCATCTGGAAATTGGACACCAATTACTGCTGTAGTAAAAGCATGTCTGCAAGACTCTTGACATAAATAGCTGTTGCTTTAACCCTTTGTCCTGCTGCTTGAAGTCACACTGTCTGTGTAGCCTGATTCGATTTGTTCTTGTCTTTGAAAACAAAGAAGAAGGCAGTAGCTTTGGTGATAATTATGTCTTGCAAGTTAGTGTAATAACTTCTCACCTACACAGTGAGACCATATGCTGCATCTAAGTGTGAGGTTTAAATCCCTGTTCCTGTGACTATGGAATAAGAAGGTGCTAAACTACTCCTTTCTTTGCGAGTTTAACAGGGTATGGAATGGACAATGTGAGAGGAAGAGAGGAACTGTTATTCTTGGCCAGTAAGGACAAAATCTTAAGAACCTTTGATGCTTCTCCAGACATGATTTGGGTATTAGAGGTCTAAGGAAACAGAGCATACAGTGAAGTAGGAGTCTTGGAAACAGGCTGTGTATCTGTCCTAGGTTGTTTGTTTCATACCAAGTACAAAGTGAACATGAACTAATTAGAAAATAATAGCTAATAATAAGGTAAACAAAAGGATTCAGAAGCAGATTTCAAGCTAAAAAACCCCTTAACACTCCTCCCCAAAAAAATCAACAAAAGACCCTCCACAAAAGAAACCCAACCAACAAAATAAAAAAGGTAAAGTTGAAAAATTAAAAACTAAGAGCCTGCCTTCTAGCTTTATAGGTAAGAGCAAGGGAGATCCATCCTGAGTGGGGTCAGCAACATCACAGTTCAGAAACACATGGCATCTCATTTCACATAGATGTGTCTCTGTGTATCCATCTGGGATCCATTCTGAGCTACAGTTTACAGTCTTTCTCTTACCCTCTTCCTCAAATAATTCTTTTCAAATTCTGGTAAATGCATTGTGTTACACAGCTGGAGATTTACACACACACATACCACTCCCCCCCCCTTGAAACCTCTTGTCCTTAAACTTGGATACTTCTGTCCTGCCAATATTCATGGTCCTACAGAGTTCTCACCTGCAGGAGCTCCTACTGCATCTCATCACCTGAGGTGTGGAAGCTTGGGAGTACTGTTCAGACAGACATGTGCTGCAGGAAACAAATTTGAAAGGAGTGGGAGTTACAGTCAATTCAGATTCTTCTACTGTACCCTTCCTGTGTTAATTACTTGTTCAGTACTTGTTCTTGCTATCACACAGTTCTCTAAAATCCTAGTTATATAAGTAAAAAGATAATTGTAGTTTCATGGACATTCTAGGAGAAAATAATATGTAATACACAGCCAGTCTGGAAACTGAGTTTATGTGGTAATTATAAGGCATCTACATTGGGTTCCTGCAAATTATTTTGCTGATTAGCGTAGAAGCCATTATACCTGCTGGAGTAATTTCATTGTCTATGTATTAATTTTAGAACTAAGATGATGTTACCACAACAGCTTCTTAAAGTTAGTTTTCAAAACTGCTTTTCATGGTGCTCCGTTTTTATCTGGAGTGGATTCTAACCTAATATGTTACTCAGTTTTGATGGCAGCTCAGTTCTCAGTATGTGCTTTAGGATATGTCTAATGTGTGTTTTCCAATATTACTTCCATTTCCCTATACTATCTGCTAATGAGAAAATCTGAAAGCTTTCCTACCCTGGATTAAGTAACGTTTGCATCAGACCACTTTCCTTGTTCCTCTAGAACAAGGCAGCTTTTACTGACTCGACTGCCATGCCTACAGGTTTCTACAAAACGCTGGTACTTGTTTTAGGAAGCTGGCTGCTTAACTGCTGGATGCAACATTGCTCAGATCAAAACTGTTCAGCAGTTTACCCAGATTTCCCTAGA